TCTGGCACTACATAAAGGCTATGAAAGTATGTTGATTCCGAAGGTTTGAAATATAATTTTCTTTTCTACTATGTTAACCTTTACAATGAGTAGAAAGAGAAACTAAACTCAGTGTAAGAGATTTGAAAGTTTAGGTTATCTACTTTTGTGTATATTTGCCGAAGTTAATTCGTGTTTTCTTAATTGTTTGTTTTGAATATGTTGTTCAGCATGTGGGAGCGAGGGTTGAAGGAAGCAGGGCCTAGCATTTCTGTAATATGTTAGCTACATTTTGTAGTTTGACCTTTCACGTTTACACGGTATGAACTCTAAAACATATAATAGTAATATGTTAGCTACATTTGTTGTAGTTTGACCTTTTGCATATACTATTGTGAAATATTTGAGGTTTTTATCCATTGCTTAGGTCTTCCAAGAAGAGCCTAGAGAACCACGACGGGTAGCTACTTGCAATATCTAAAAGATGACTGTTGGGTAATTTTTTGTTGGGTTAATAGTTACTTGGTATAGTTTTTTTATGTACGGGGTTGATTGACATGAAAAACCTTCGTTCATGTATATATAATTTACTATATGTATACACTTTATATTTGTAGGTGGGTTGGTGTACTAATGGATATATATGTTCTTGTATGTAAAATACGTTACAATTGACAGGTACAAGTACAACTATGGAAAGTGATTTTTAGAAACATTTCAAAACAAGATTATATGAAAAGTTACATTTATAAAATGTCAACAAAATAGGTTTCGTGACAAAAAAAAATTAAAACTATTTCTTGACAATTAAATGTCGACATTATCAAGTATATCATGATAGTTCTAAATTGTCGTTGTAAACCTTTACGTGACATATATCGAATGTCATTATTTAATGTTGCATGACATTTTTAAGTTGTCATTATACAATTTTTCGTGATTGTTAAAACTGGCAATATTGTGATTGGAGAAAGAAACATTCTTAGACAGAAGAAAAGAAGAATTTTAGAACTGTTTATGAGATTGAAAATTTTATGCAGAAATAAGTTTTCAAACCACCATATTGCTGTATCTAGGTGATTGCCCGTATGCTATAAGAATGTGTTTCTATAGTATACCTAGAAATAGAAGGTCTTTGGGACCATTAGACTCCACATGTTGAGAGAATTATTCTACTGTGTATATTGAGATTACTCTATGCCAGTGGACCAGAAATAGAATTATTCTGTTGTGCGTATTGAGATTACTCTACGCCAGTGGACAAGAATAGAATGTGGATACATATGTGGTGTTGAGTTTTCTTAACCTGTTTTAGGTTTAAAAGAAGACATTTGATATGTATTTAGAAGTGTTTTCAGAAAGTATATGTTGTTACAAGTATTGTTTAGAAAATTACTGAATTTTTGTTTGCTCAAGTTTTTACTGAAGAAGCTTATTATTTCAATTTTAAGAAGTTTGTTTTAAGAGTTGTAATTTCAGTTGTTGATGAAAGAAGTTTTATGAAACTATTTTCTTATTAAATTGTCATTCACTGAACTTCCTAACTCACTGTTTATCATTTTTTTCCTCCACCAGGCTGCACTTGAGTTTCAAAGAGATAGCTGACCAGTTTCTGCCACTCATCGTCTTAGAACTTGCATATCATTTTGTATGTATATTTAGAATGACTTGTAATGGAGTAGTTGTACCTTTTGTGGTTGTAAAACATGTTTAGAAATCATGGCCGAATATTTATTTCTGAGCTGAATTATGTTACACTTTATGTTTTATATATTGAAGAATAATCTAAATTAGTTTTAGAAATTTAGAATGAAATTTGACTATAGACTCTATAGTAGGTTGGAGTTTATGGTCAGCGCGGCTTGTTCTAGAACTAGTAGGTGTTTTTGGGGCGGGTCATGTCATATTGGCTCCGTCAACAACCCTTGTTCATGGTCCAACAGTATCAGCAACTCTTGTTGTCGTACTGATAGCTTATTTGGAAAATTTATTTATCATTTTACTATGTGGTTTATGATCTCTTACGTGGTCTTCTTCTAGGAAAGTAGCATTTGTCGATACAAATTCTTTATTTGAAGGGATTGGATCCCGCAGTGGAAGTGCGCGAATGCGTGTGCTTCGACTTGTTTTAGAATTGCAACAAAGAAAAGACACATAAATACGAATAACAAGAAGTTAGTGATACAAACTTTGAAGACACCTCTTAAATGTAGATATCAATGCCACCACAAAGTCTTCCTTGCTATCCTCTGGACGTTAAGATCTCGGTTTGTGGGAACCGTCTTGTAACTGGAAAGGAAATCGAGAGAGAGAGAGAGATTTTCTCAGAGACTGGGGACCAAAACAGAAAAGGAGAGTCTCCCTTTTATAAAGGAGGAAGAGTGGTGGGGAAGTCACAACTTTCCCACTTTCCATGGTGGGAAGTGGGAAAGTTGTGACTTTCTGACTTTCCACCATTAATGATGGAAAGCGGTCATTTTCCATTTTTTTCTTTTTTTATTTAATTAAATTAATAATTAATTAAATCATATTTAATTAATTACCAAAAAAATAATTATTAATTAAATTAAATTAAATCAAATTTAACTTAACCAAATTAACATAAGTCATTAATTGAATTTAATTATATTTAATTAAATTAATAAACATATCCCATTAATTTAATTAAATCATATTTAATCAAATTAAACTTAAATTAATTAACTATATTAGAATCAAATTCCAATATACATCTCTCTCATAATTTTGAATTCAATTCAAAAATTAACCTTATATTATAATGTATCAATATACATTATGCTAATTCCCATTAACAAATTTGAACAATTCAAATTCTTTTCAAGATTAAATATTCTTAACTATCCTTTACGAGCTAACAAAGGGACCTAATGGACCTACAGATCGGAAGCTCTAACGATACGAGATTAATTGATTAAACTCATTAACCATATTAATCAACATTCAATAACTGTCAGTCACTCCACTAAAGACCCACAGTTGTACTCTTCTCACTGTAGAATATTTTCCGTCCATGGATTTTGAGCATTAAGGGTAAGTCAATCCTTCACGAGTGTTTGTAACCACAGTTGGGTCAAATTACCATTTTACCCATATGTTATATCTTGTACCTTAAGTACCGTTGATCCTCTAATGAACAACCCGGTTATGGTCCAACCAATAACTAGAAGTCTCTTTCAGACAAGTGAGAGGGTGCGGCCCCTTGTTCAAGTCCCAGAGTCAGCACTCAAGAGAACACTCATCTACTTACCCTGAAGTCGGGAAGGAGTGAATTTCATCTTGTGTAGTTATGTTCCCAACTCCTCACTCGGTCTCGTCCCCAAAATGGTAGGCATATAGAGTCGGCGACTCGAGCCACTCTCACCCATACAAATCAAATGACGAGCCCTAACAGGCAGGAGTCCATAACTCACTCAGGATTGAGATCGAGATACCTGGTCATCCTATTGGAATATTAATTTATTAGCTAACGGTGTTATAGCTAAAGATTAATTATTTCGTGGGCCGGTCTTATACAAACTCATTGTATAGGATACCCCCACTCGCATGTCTCCACACAAACGACCTTGATCAAGTCATTTGTAACTATTACAAAGTGGGTCATATCCATAATGTTACCAAGATAAAGTACCCAACCCTATCCATATATTATAGACCCTTTAGGTTACTACTGGAACATTATTCACGTATATATCAAATATATACTGTATATATATACACTGTATATCAAATATATAGGCTTAAATATATACTGTTCCAGTTACATGACAAAACCTCGGATATTAGTTTATTGGATTTTGGTTAATGCAATTCTATCAATAACAACTTTATTGAATGAATATTTGTTTTATATTTACAAACCACGAGTTTAGAGCATAAAACCCAACATTATTTTCCTTAGGATCGAAGAAGTAACCACCTCTTGTTTTTTTGGGATAACCTACAAATAGGCATATCTTTGAACGTGGTCCAATTTCTTTGGACATCCCCAAACTCTGAAGTGTCGTAAACTAGGTTTACGACCTCTCCAAAGTTCAAATGGTGTTTCGGAAACACTCTTTGATAGAACATTGTTTCGGATATAAACTACAGTCTCCACTACATAACCTCAAAACGAGTTAGGCAATTGAGCATAGCTTATCATTGATCGAACCATGTCTAACAGGGCTCTGTTTCTTCTTTCTGACACACCATTTTGTTGTGGTGTACCGGGTGCGAAGAGTTGGAAAGCGATACTATGTTCTATCATACATTGTTGAAATCTTAAGTCCATGTACTCACTATCACAATGTGATCAAAGTGTTTTAATGGACTTACCTAATAAATTTTCAACTTTAGTCTTATTCTCTTTGAACTTTTCAAGTTTCTGACTTATGTTGCATTAGGTAAAGTTGCCCAAATCTTGAATAATATGAACGAGATGAAATATTCATACACACCTCGAGCTTGAACATTTATTTTACCACAAAGGTCTGAATGTACAAGTTCTAAGGGTTCTTTGGCTCTATAACCTTTTGCTGTAAATGGTCTTTTAGTTACATTACCCTCAAGGCATGATTCACATATTGGTAAAGAGTTGTCGTCTAACTTAGTTAGGAGGCCACTCTTAACCAGCTTCTCAATCCTATTGAGATTAAGTGGCCAAGTCTGAGTCGCCAAAGATGGGCATTTTCTTTAGGAGAAATTCTTTGTTTTTTGGGCTGTGTTGTTGCAGTTTTAAACAATTCATTGTTTAGAATTTTTTTAGTTAAAGTTGGTCTTAATACGTACAAGCTATTTTCTAATTTTGCTGAACAAATTTCAACACCTTTTCTTATAATAAATGCTTCATTAGAAAGAAAAGAGATTGACATAGATTGTTCAAGTAAGTAAGCAACAAAAACTAAATTTCTCTTCATTTGAGGGACAATGTACACATTATCTAATAACATGTATCTATGCTTGCTGAGAAATAACTTGACGTTGCCCACCGCAATAGTAGAGATGATCTCCCCGATTCCAACTCAGAGAGAAATCTCTTGCCTCCAGGAACTAATTGCTTGTAAAGAAGAGCAAACATGATTAGTGGCTCCTGAATCAATTATCCAAGACGAATCATCATTCTCCATGAAAGATGTTTCTAGAACAAGTAAATCAAATTTACCTTCTACTTTCTTCTTATCGGCCAAGTACTTCGGGCAGATTCTTTTCCAATGCCCGTCAACACCATAGTGGAAACATTTCCATTTGGTTGCAACCTTAGCCTTCTTCCCCTTCTGGACAACAGCGGGGACAATTTTATTCACATGTTCCCGGACAGATGTTCCCTCCTTCATCCATGAGTTGAAGATGAATTTGAGAACTTCATGCATGACTTGTAAGGAAGGTTTTCGAAGCATGTCACGCAATGAATCCATGATCTTGAGTGCAGTTATCATGGTTCTCATGTTTCGCCAAAACATCAGATATACTGGCCAAGATGTAGACTCAAGCCTTTGAATTACCTGTCATATGCGCCACGAACAGCTTTCGTGGCGTCAGGTCTAGGGATCTCCGGACAGGCCTCCATTAAGACAAAGTAGAGATCATCTACTACAAGTATGGTGTTAAGGTTCGTTTTCTACGTGGGATAGTTATCCCCAGTTAGTTTATCGGCAACAAAAAGTGAAATTAAAGATGTAGACATAATTCCTTAAACAAATAAATTATTTACATTAGAACTTTGCAAAACCTCTTTGAACCAATCAAATTTAGCAAATTAAGAAATAATCAATCCTACAATTAAATAATTTGCAATGATACTTCAATGATTTAGAACAACCGCCATTGAAGGGTAGTCAATTATTCCTTTGCTGAATTGAGACTATCTCAACCAAGTACTATACTAGGATAACTCTTACCCCTATAATGATTAGCTATCATTTCATTTGGTCTAGAAATCATTAACTAACTTAATAATTTCTTGTAAGTGAGCCGTTTCATTTTTTACCCTAAAAATTCCGCCCCGACACACCCACCGAAGGGTAGGACAATACCGTTGAAAAAACTTTAGAAACCTATCCATTTTTGTAGTTTGCCATAGCACTGGTCTCATGCAAACACTTTCCAAAGTGAGGATGCTCCCAGGACACCACAAGGCCAAGCATGAAACCCTTGCTTTGCAAACTAATAAAGGAAACTGTAGGAAGTGTTGTCACACGACCTTCTCCCACTTACTTTAAATACTTTCTCAATTCATCTTGATATTGACCCAAGCAAACACCTTCTGAAGGGTGGATGCTCCTAAGGCACCACGAAGCCGAGCATGAATCTCACAGTGTGAACTTCACGGAGATCGTGAGGGAAAGAGTATATATTATACATACCTTGTATATGAAACATACTAGTACGTTATATACATACAGTAATCCTCCCACTAAGTATTTTATAAGTTAGGGTTTATTATTTAAGGAAAAACCGGCTAAAACATTTTTCTTTAAATAAAAACATTTGCCCAATACAGCTTGTTTATATTGGATTGTTCTACACTAATGTTTTTAGTCTATGTAACGATTTAATAAACTAAAACATTATTGCATGCTTTTATAAAATATTGACTAATTCAACCCCTAGGTCGGTGCCCAAGTAGAGGTTTTTACTAAACGTTTAGCTTAAATACCTCAACCTAGATAGAACCTTGCTAAGATAGGGTTCCCTTATAGACAATATTTTATAATTAAGTTTTTCTTTAAGAAAAAACTCTAATCTTATTAGGGAAAAAATAACGAAAGGTTTAACTAATTAATTTTAAAACCATTTTTTAAAATTAATTAATCCTAAACATGCAATACTAAACTTTAAATATACATATAACATATACATATAATTAAACTTATAGGCATGCATCAAAGGACATTTATAAAAATAAAACAATTATATTTACTAAATAAATTTTATGCTCAATGCGACTTATTTTTCCATTAATTAACATAACAATTATATTAATTACAAGAAAAATACAACATGTTTCATATAACACTTATATTAATTTAATATAAGAAAAACTAGAAAAAAATAAAACAAAAAACACAGTTTCAAAGATTTAAACTTTGGAACTATGCTTCAATAGGATAGCATTGGACACTTTGGGGAATATTACTACATTGTATCTAAGTGACCAATCCGCAAGTACATGAGTAACATTTAAACGTGAATTTTTTTTTCCAGATTTACAGCTTCGGGTCTTCTCCTTCAACATCAAAAAATCTGCTAAATCATGGCAAAAAAACCTTAGAATTCATCCAGTAGGTACAACACAGACTTACACAATGATTTACAATATTAAATGCCCAAAAACACCGGGTCCTTTACATTGATCAAATCAAACAAATTTGTAAATCTAAATGTCAAAACCAACAAACATCCAATTGCAAAACCCATAAACCTTAAACATCAAAATGCAGAAGAAAACCCACCATATTCTGTACAAAATTTTACCAGAAAATTCAGAACGAAAAATCGTACTTTGATATCAATTGAAGGGGATGTGAATCTTGGAGTGGAAGCAGTAGAACGCGGTCTTGAGTTTCTTATGTAATTTAAAACACAGAAAAATATAAAACAAGAAACATTGTCGGATTTTTACCTTTGAAGACTCTTCTTCGTGTAAACCAATGAGAGAACACCACTTGATCTTCCTCGCTATATCTCTCGGTCGAGAATTTGGATTGTGGGATTCAATTGCAAGGGATTGAGAGAGTAAGAAATGTGAGAGATTTTTAGCTTTTTTATAAAGAGGGAAAATCCTAAGACCATTAGAATATCTTTATCATTTTGGATATGCGATATCTTCTCTTGAATTTAGGGGAAATCCCATGACCATTGTGTGTTTTCCTTTTTTTAATTAATAATAAATCAATTAATTAAATCAATTAACAATTAATTAATAAATAATTAATTAAAATCTAAATATTAATTAAATAATTAATTATTTATTTAACTTTTAATTAAATATCACATATTTAATTAAAACTATATATTTGAATCATATTCAAATGCATATCTCTTGTATAGCCCATAGTTTTAATATGAATCAATTCATATTAATTATTTGAATCCTATTCAAATATTTCTCTTATAACATATAGTTTAATTTGAATCTTTATTAAAAAAAAATAACTATATATATAATGTATCATAATATACATTATATACATTATCTGATATATAATTTTGAACATTTCAAATTCTCTCAAAATATTGAACCTCGTTTTACCCGTTGTGAGCTAGCAAGGGGACCTGATGGACCTACAGATCAGAAGCTTCAACGATACGAGATGAATTAGTTAAACTCATTAACTGAGTTAATCAACCTTCGTTAACTGCGGGTCACTCCAGTAAAGACCCACAACTGCACTCTTCTCACTGCAGAACATTTTTGTGTCTACGGATGTACGACCATTAACGGCAAGTCAATCCTTCACGAGTACTTGCAACTCTAGTTGGATCAAATTACAATTTTATCCCTGAGTTACATCTTGCTCCTTAAATACCACTGCTCCTCTAATGAACAACCCGGTTATGGTCCGACCAATAACCGGAAGTCCCTCTCGGGCCAGTGAGAGGGTGAGACCCCTTGTTCAAGTCCCGAAGTCAGCATGTAAGGGAACACTCATCTACTTCTCTAAAATCGGGAAGGAGTGAATTCCATCTTGCGTAGTTATTTTTCCAACTCCCCGCTCGGTCTCTCCCCCAAAATGGTAGGATTATTGAGTTGGCAACCTGGGTCATTCTCACCCATACAAAGCAAAGAATGATCCCTTATATCAGGAGTCAATAACTCGTTCAAGATTAAGATTGAGTTACCCGATTATCCAATGAGATAACAATCTATTGACTAACGATTTTAGAGCCAAGGATTAATTATTCCGCGATCTGGTCTTATACGAACTAATTGTATAGGATACCCCCACTCGTTTGTCTCTACATGAACGACCTGGATAAAATTATTTTTAACTATTATAAAGTGTGTCGTATCCATAGTGTTACCCGGATAAGGTACCCAACCTTATCCATATACTATAGACTATTTAAGCTATTACTGGAATATTATCCATTGTATATCGAATATACGAATATATATTGTATATCAAAAAATATATTGTTCCAATTATATTAAATAACCTTGGATCTTAGTTTATTGAAATACGAGTAATGCAAATAAATAATAAGATAACTCTTTATTGAATAAATAATTTGTTCATGAATTACAAATACACGAATTAAAAGCACCAAACTCAACACTTCAAGCATTGTTTGGGCTAGGGTAGTACTGACCCAACTACTAAAACCTATGTTTATGGCTCAATCCATAGGCTTAACTCAATGAGCGAAAGTTTGGTTGGGTTTAGATTTGCCCTTTGGATCAAGTTTAAATTAGCCCATATAATAAGTTACTTTTTCAATATTTTTTCAAACCAAGTTCTTGAATTTTAGAATTTATGTTTTTATTTTATTCTTTTGTAATTTTTTTTAATTTTTAGAAAAATTATCAATAAAATTTGTTATATCATATTTTTTTACAACTTAATTTATTTTATATTTAAAGAAATAATTTTTATATTTATATTATTTTTAAAAAAATTTAGAGGATTGAAAATGACAATAAAGAATGGTCATAAATACTAATTAATTATATATTAATATTTTATACTTGTATATATAATCATAATAATATTATTATGTGATTATATTATTGGATCGTGTCTTTGGGCCGGTCTAACGAGCAATCAAAGTACGGCCTAAGTAGGTTGGCCCATGTTTAAAAAATGAAGATATAATATCCAATAAAACTTATGGATGAGCTGGGCTGGGTCAGATCAATCAAACGTTGACCTTTGGCCAACCTTGGATCGGGCATAGGCAGAGCTTTTGCTGGCCTTTAGCTTAAAGCTCGATGATAAGGTTGACCTAGAATGTTGACTCTAACTCTAAAATATTTTGGTTTGCCTGCAAGAAGATTTATTATCCATATCCATACCGTTTCTTTAGGGTGGTTTTAAACAATATAATACATGTTGTAAAAACGGGCAATTCATTCCGCATCGAAATTTTGATTTATAAAAAATTTAGAAATATTGAATTTACATTGAATTTACATTTGGAAACTAAATTAATTAGAAAGGAAAAATATATACCTTCGTAAAATCTCTCCACAAGACATCCCTTGCCATGACTCGAACATCGGACAAAAGTTGGTAGGAATTCCTTTGAAACCACATAGGAAATTTTTTTGAAAAATTAGAGAAAATTCATGTTTTTTGGCTTATCCCAAGGGTCCTATTTATAGGAGCTTGAGTAAAATATTTTAATATCTCATATTACAAAATTTTATATTATTTGATTATCATATATATTTTATTAATATATCTTATATATAAATATAATATAATTTTTCTTTTAAATATAT